CTGTGAGGTTGTCAGTCTTATGCGCCGGACGTCTTTTATCCCCAGGAAGAATCTTGGTACTCATTTCTTTCAGAGGCTGGGTCGATCCCAGGGACATAGTGTTGCTGGAAGGGTTAAGGAAATTGAAGAATCCACCTCATCGGGACTCGAACACGAGACCGTCCGGCTTATAGCATAGAGCCTCAACCAACTACACTACTCCGTTCCCTTAGTGTTAACACTTGCCTTGAGGATTTTAGAATAGTCTCAGGGGTCACACAAAACAACTAGCAAGCATATAGTGCTATATCAGTCTGACAATGTTATTTATCGTTGTTTATTATCAAAGTTTGAATCCCAGAACATTTTTAGCTTTTGCTACTCTTTGCTGTTAGGAAACTCTAGACAAAAAAAAAAATACGAGATAATAGTAGTGACGGAAATATTGGGAAAATGGTAAGGGAAATACAGGGAATCAAAATAACTACAAGGAAAATGAACTGAAGAGAAAAAGCTTCAGACCAAAGATGAAACACCTCACAAAGCAGGTAAACTTCTTCCAAATCCTGAAAGACGCCTCGATCTATAGGCAACCACTTTGACATAAGAGTAAAGCAGATCGTCTATTGCGTTGGTATTGCTGATATAAAACTTTTATTCACAGACTTTGCTGTACTGTTTAAACTGCTCTAAGCTTATGTACGTAAAACAAACTCGACTAACACGTCTTCCCTTGTCCGAAAACTTCAGAACTGTCGTTCAGAAGAAGAAACTATGAACATTGACATAAATGGGCCAGGATATACCGGCCGGTACCAAGTGACGGGCTACGGCACTGGACAGCTCAGTCTCAATGCTGAATCTTATGATCACTTATTGGTTAATTTCTGAGATGAGCCATGCGGACGGACCTGTATTGTTCTCCATTATGCTCTCATGTTATGATCATTGTGAAAATAATGCATAAAAATCAAGATGTAACGATTAGAGCAGGTGAACTCTATTGTTATGCATCGTATACGCAAAGCTGAAGTAAAACACTTCAGAGGATCAGCTTCCTCACTTACTTGAAGCCTGAGAACCATAAAATGATTACCGTTTGTCTGCAAGTGTAATTTGAGAGTTATAGTGATCAGTAGTACGTTCGAAAGAGAAGGCATTAAGCAAACTTTGCTCCATTTGTAGCGATTTATCAACGTGTAATACCTGGGCTAGCAGGCCCGAGAGCGATGACTATACGTCTGTGTCTGTTCTTCAGAGTGCCACAATACGTCACTCCAATGCAGGCACAGGGTCTTACAATGAATATTATGGTCGAAAGAGACGAAGTTTTGTACAACACAGATTATGCTGTAAGGTAAAGGCAAAAATAGGTAAAGCTATCACTGTAACCGGCCGTGAAGGCCAATAGGGTTGTGAGACGTCGATGTTCCCACATTTTCATTAGATAATCGGCTCACAGATGGCGGTGAGGTTGTCACTGACGCGCCGGCCGCCCTTTATTCCCAAGAAAAATTCCTGGTACTCATTTCTGTTAGAGGCCGAGTCCATCCCGGGGCCATAGTACGGCTGGAAGGATTAGGAAAATTGAAAAAAAATTCCACCTCATCGGGATTAGAACCCGCAAACTTCCGGCTTGTAGTTTAGTGCCTCAACCAACTACGCTACCGCGTATTTTTCCTTTGTCTGATGCCGACAAAATTCACTCCAGAACACAACTCCCTCACTAGCCGTGCTGGCGTTCTCTTTCTTTTTAAATAGGTATTCAGAGACAGGGAGAGATGCACATCTGGGTACCATAAGGCTCCATACGTTTTATGGAGGGATGAGGAATACCTCCACCCCTACAGCGTATGTTATCCCTGCCATTTTCGCGAAACGATTGGGACTCCATTTGCTTATTGCTGCTACATACTCTCAACGAATTAAGGTAGCTTAGTTATTTGATTCAACAGAGTTACACCACTGTATGATTAATTCGTAACTTATAAATGTAAAGGCAGAATAAATAAACTATGTTTTAAAGGTTTTCGAAGTCTTGTAAATACTGCAAGTTACAATGAGGTTTATCTGAATTCGTCGCCTAGAACTGACAATTAGAAAAAGTTTCTCTACTATTTTTGGGCCCTCTGCACACAGTGAGTAGAATGATGACGTGGGGGTTGTATCTGTCAGTTTAATGAGTTTCGATTAAGGTAATTGATGCGGGGGTCTAAAATTAGTACGGGGAATTTCATTTTTGTTTGTATCGATCTAATAATACACTGTTAATCCTACCCTACACGAAACGAAAATCAAACTCCATCTTTAACATTTTACACAGCAATAAAATCATTACAATGGTGTGCGAGTTGACGGCACGCATGAGTTTCAAGTGACACTAATTCTTCCAGTAGCTTGATCTGCCAGAAATAGCCTCTCTTTCGTCACCTGTGGTCATTCTCGTAAAAAGAATGTATATTTTGAAGAACTCCTTGAAACCTGTATTTTTTTTTTTAATTTTTCAGTACTAGATGTGGACTTTGAGTACATAAAGCGAGGCCCCTAGCGCTTGAGAGCGACATTAACGATTCAGAACTGCATTCATAAAAAGAATAACAGAATCTTAAATTCGGGGAATGGTGGCTGCCTTTCAGATCCGAATCTTTTGTCTTTGAGTCTGTTATCTAAAAAAAAAAAAAACTAAAATATAACAGAACCATAACAGAACCACTACTACCCTCTTAAGAAGGGTTGAATTTCGTGATGTTGGTTATAAATGCAGACATTGAAGTTTATGATTCTGAAACATGTCTTTAACTTGAAATTACTGTTGGTAGACAACGATAAATTCGCGATCCTTTTATATTAAAACCAGTGGTCACGGATTCTACACTATTCCAAACGAAACGTTTATCTTTATGTTATTCGAAGGATTGAATTGGTTGCTCATCAATAATTTTACTAGCGCGAAAGATCAATTATGACGAATTGTACACTGAAAGCCATGTTAGGTTGGTCCCTCGTCATCACGACATGGCGCGTCCTCAGATTGTGGATATGTAAGATATGGAGGGTAGCTACGAATATATTGAATAAGCATTTGTGGACAGCCGACAAAGGGTGGACATCCTTGTGGGAAGTTATTGAGTAGCTACATAACTGGCGGCTTATCAAGGACTCATCTCTAAGGAGTTAGTTAGTTAGTTAGTTAGTACACTCAAATCTCATTTGGGGTACGCGGTAGTCTAGTTAGTTGAGGCACTATGCAACAAGCCGGAAAGTCATGGGTTCGAGTCCCAATGAGGTGGATTTTTTCAAGTTACCATATCCTTCCAGCCGCCCTATGACCCTGAGTTCGACTAAGCCTCTACCGGAAATGAGTACCAGGAATCTTCATGGGAGTAAAGGGCCGCCAGCACGTAAGGCTGACAATCTTACCGCCATCTGTGAGCCAGTTGTCTAGAAAATGTGGGAGCCTCGATGTCTCACAACCCTATGAACCTCCTGTTACAGGGATATATTTACCTTCTTACCTTTCACCTTTACTGAAAGTTCAGGACATCAAGCATTCTACACTACATTATGTAGGCTGTGAGAGGACTCCAGGCTTATTTGAGAGGATGGGTCCATCAGTGTGCTAGGCGAGTATATTAGCAAAACCCATTAACATCACTGAATTTTAGGGTCTGCAGTTGTACTATGCATATAGTGTACAATTCGAAATGAAATATCAGATACATTTCCAGTTATGCTGTGCATAAATCGGGTTCATGTAGGTCTATTTATTTTCCGTGCCAGAAAATTCTTTCAGTATGCATCAACAGCAGAATCGGGTTTATGCAGTGAAATAAATGACTATGGATTGAATGACTGGGATTTCAATCTTGCCATCCTGGCAGGAGGAAGGATTTTTCCCTAGCTTTCAAGTCCAAGCCGCCTCAGAGGACAACGGCCGTCGCATGCCATTCGCTGGGCTACTTCCGGAGGGGTAAAGTGACTGAACCATGAAGCCGACCACTCGCCACCATTTATTGCCGGGGCCCAGATCTCTTCGTGCTTTGTTTCGATACGTCTCCATGGCTGGGTGCTTAGGTATAGGGACAATTTTAGGGTTCCTCTTGACACTCGACTGACGAAGAACACTGACTGTCTATGGTGTACACCACAAATTGTGTCGCCTTCCATACGTTTTGGAATCATCAAGGTACGCTATCTAAAATAAGATATTTCTTCTTGTTTCTTTTTTTCGATCATTCCAAATGAACGCCGGAACAATTGTTTGGCACACTATCCCTGATCATCATTCTCACGCTTATAACTTCTGTACCTGAAATAGTGATGTTATAAAAATAAGAATAAACCAAGTTTGGCAAAAAGACTTTGCGGCAGAGTATGCTGGTGTGTCAATGAGGCTGTTGATTTATTTTAGAGAGGGGTTAATGAATATCCAGACTGAGAAGTTTTCAAAGCCAGTACCGAGCTCTACCTTGAGAAATACAGTTACAGTCTTCCCCCCCCTCACCTCCTCATCATTCACCGAATCTCGCAGTTTAATTTTTACAACACTTCTGTTTCTTACTTTGGAGATCCCGGGTTCAACAAGCCATTCAGAGTATTTCGTGGTTTTCTTCAGTTGGATAAATTCTGGAAGAATGCTTCATACAGGCCACTTCCATATCCTTCATGATTCATTATTCAGAACTACTGGACGCAGGATTTTCAGATCAGTTGAAAAACCGCCCTAAAATAACCCAAGATTTACTAAGATACTCCATTCTCATTCGACATTCAAGCTCTGGGAACCACAGCTTTGGGGTGCGGCTATTGAATCTTATAGATTAATCTGAAATAAGTTCTATCTTCTGCATGTGCTCTTATCAAACGGCGTTGTTTCCAACTCCCTGGATCTTTCTCTCCAAGTTCTCCCACAGCGGTGACTAGTGCGCAGTCAGTCCAGACATGTTGATCCAGCTGCCACAGGAACACGGGGGAGAAAGAGAGAGTGAGAGAACGAGCAAACAGGGAGAACGAGTGAGATCGTAGTCCAAGAGAAGGTGATCAATAGCTCGTTGCTGGCAGTGCCCCGTTTCAGTTCAGTCCAGCCAGCATCCGCTTGTACTCGTGGTTGCCTGGCGCTACTACAAACATCTTACAGTTCATCTTCAAGATCTTCGGTCCGTGAGGGGCTTCTCGACTTGTAGCAGCAGCATCTTGGCCAGTTCTCCTCCAAGGTAAATAACTCATATATCCTGAGTACTGGGTGTTGTCTTGGCAATGAGTTCGTGTTTGGGTGTAATTCAGCACCAGTGAATCCTGTTTCATAAAACCGCACTGCAGTAATATCCGTTCTTGTGTTTGAGGGAACACAAAGAAAATTGAGTTCTGAATGTAGAAGTTATAATTCCACTGCCTCTGCATTCGGCTTGAAAGTACTGAGGGTATCAACATATTTGGCTAAGAGGTGCTTTTGCAGGGAATTCTGTAATCAAAGACATAAGGATTAAGATCTGAAGTTCATATCCCGAGGAGACTATGACGATTATTATCTTCGGGCATGTGAGGTGTAATCCAATTGTTGTGCACCGACGTTTCTTCTCTCATGAAAATTAAGATAGCACATTCCTCGTTCCCTACTACCATGATACACGACGTCACATTCCAGATCCTTCTCATACAGTACTCTTCCAAACGCCTCTTAATTCTTCTGTCGTAAACTGCATTGTATAGGGCGTTTCTTAGAAAACAGATGAAGGTCAGTATGACCCTAATACAGTGTATGGTTTATTGTTGGCAGATTTTAACAAAAATTAAATCATCTCGATTACTAGATCCACCGTACCAAATTTAATGGAAAACCGATCAGTAGTTTCGGAGATGAAACACGAGGACGAACCGTGAAGCAGATATGGCCGCCCCTTCATTTCTTAATTTGTGCAATTTTGTCGTTAATAAGGTAAAGTTGCCCCTGTGTTCAACTAACTAAGCACTACGCCATTAAGGTGTATGGGGGAGTGGATGTATAGAGCCACATTTTCTTGACTTCGGCACTATTTGGAGGTGAATGGTCAGCTTCAGGCCCCTGCAGCTTTACCCCCGGGGAAAGAACCTTCGGTACTCATTGGAAAGAACACTGGATGGGTCCCAGAGCCGGTCTGGCCGACGTGGAGAGGAGAAAATTCTTGACCCTACCGGGACTCGAATTCCGACCCCTCGGTCGTCCAGAGCGTAGCCAGTCGCTATACCGACTGAGCTATCCCGGCTCATATTTCATCGTTAATGACATACTTTAATCGCACAGAATGGTTTTTACAAAAGACCAAAAGACTGCTAACTTAATGAAGGAAATCCTTAACGCATTTGAAGTGAATGGATAACAGTGAACTTATTTGGAAATTGTTCCATTTCTATTTGATTTCATCGCCTTATGATCGTGTAGGGGCCTACGACTAGCAGACAGTCGTCTAAATTTAATTACTGTTATCCAGGAGATACCTGATTTTGTAATGTTATACACGTCCAGTCCTCAATAACCTGATCTCTTGCAATGCTACATCAACAGAATGAATACCCTGCAGGAAGCATTGTTCCGTTAAAAAGGGATTTATTTCCGTGGAAGATTCAGCATCATGAGGTTGCAGCTCACATGAACGTGAGAATGGGTCGATGAACGAACTCATGGAGCAGAACCATTTTTGAGGTGACATAGGCAAGGAATTATTGCATGTAAAGGAATCAAACAAAAGATGCAATCAAGTTGGTAGTACTGCTATATATTTGGGAGGGCCCTGGTTTGAAACTCGGCCCGAAGTCGGCTATCTTGACTGTGGTATTTCGCAGTTTTCCTCAGTCCCCAGGCAAGTGCTGGAATAGTATATCAATTTAGGCCACTACCGCTTTCTTCCACATATTTTACGATTCATAACTCAGTACTCCTAAGAATCGATGCAATTACTCTGAGCTGGTTACAACATCGTTACAAAATCGTAAACAAATAAATATATAAACATAATGGAACCGGAAGTTTTATCACCGTTTCCTCAAGAACTGCCTCTGAACCTTATCCTGAAATATTCTACACCCTCACCCTTTAATGTCTATTTTAATATTTTCCTAACTATGCCTGTGTCTCCCTAGTGATCCCTTCCCTTAAGATATTCCAGCTAAAATGTTGCATTTGTATCCCATCTCTCCTATACATATTGCATGCCTTTCCATCCTATCGACCATGATTCGAATACTTAATAATGTTTCTACCAACATCCCCTTCTCACCCTCTTCAGTATATGTCATCATTTATGGAGCCATGGGAGTGGGGACGGTGGCCCGAAAACGATTGGGAACTATTGATGTGCCTTATGGAGTGTTTTCATTTTCAACATCCAAATTAAACAATAAACATCTGAATATACCAGATTAATTTTTGTTGTTGTTCACATATTTTATTGTGCACTGTGTTTTTATTTTCAGACGAAATATTTAACAATAACTTCTATTAGATTTTCTCACAAATGGCTCACCATTGTCAACATATTTTCCATTAAGAATAAACTGTAAAACAAAGTGTTATTTTGCTGGGTGTGATTAATTTTCAATGCTGATATTTTATATTTCGATTATTCGTTTAATTTGGGGTTAATATTAAAATGAAAAATTACGTGTTATAAATTAACTTAAATGCCATAATCCTTTCTGTGATCGTAATTAAAATCTGGTTTTCAGACGCCTCAATACACTGCAGCTGTTCGTAAACGAAAGTCGAAGTTAAAACATTTGTGTCTAAGGTAAAGGTAAAGCTGTTCCTGTGCTCAACGAATTAAGCACTACGCCACGAAGGCGTATGGGAAACATTTGGGTCTAGGAGAGATTAAATAGCTTATTTCGCGTCATCGCATATTGTACTTTCTGTTTCCGAACATGGAACCAATTTTGAATTTTTGAACATCTTAAATAATTATCATTTTCGTTGTATATGTTTTGTGTGCTGATGTAATGAATAAAAATAAATGTTACTGTGAAGCAATTAATTCTTTTTTAATTCGCTTAGTGGGGGGTGGAGTTCAACTGGGTCCACTCGGCACTGCGGCCACTGATTGACCTATTGTAGCCTGCCCCCGGTGATTATGATGGAGAATTTGGTGGAATGAAGATTGGCAGGGTAAACCGAAATACTCCGAGGAAATCCGTCCCAGCGCCACTTTGTCCACCACAAATCCCACTTGACCAGACCCCGAGCTCGAGCCCGGGCCGCCGCGGTGGGAAGCCTGCAACTAACCACTTAAGCTAAAGCGCGGCTCCTTAAGGTGAGGTAACGCGTAACAGTACGATTTCTACCGAAGTCGCTCACTGACTGTCGTTTATTGAGGAAACAAAAAAGAAAGTTTACGGAGAAATGAGACCAGAATTATCGGAGTGGTTTCTGAGTCTTTTCTCGCCTATGTATTTACTGTGAATACCAGTGACCATGCGGCGAACTTAAACTCTGTGTGATCAGGTAGCGACTTACTTTGGCCTCTTACTGACCTCCAGCCATGGACTTGAGTGAGCTGTTTACACAATGGCTGCTTTTCTTTCTAGCGGAGAGGGAACTCAGAAAAGAACTATAGTGTAGAAACGGCGCACACCGACATCGATTTATTATTCTTATTATTATTTAGTGTTTTGGATTTTAGTATTTAATTCGTAGTCTAATTTTTAGTGTAGCTTTAGTTTCGCGTACACCTTTAGTGCTCGCCTGTTATAAGCTTATCTCTGTTGTGCAAGCACTCACATAAATGAACTAAATTGAGTTACTCGTAGGTACTCGTGCATATTGTATGATTGATCATCGGCCTGTTGAGTAAACACATAAAGAAATGTAGAATTGAATTGTTAATAAAATGATTTATGGCTGGTTGTGGAAAATAGCTTTCGTAATTTCACACCGTCTGTTTCGCCCAGTACTTTGGCTCCGTTTATATTTAGTGCATATGTAGACCGCGCCATAGCTCAAGCGGTTAGTCTCTGGCTTCCCACCGCGGCGGCCCGGGTTCGATCCCGGGTCTGGTCAGGTGGGATTTGTGGTGGACAAAGTGGCGCTGAGGCAGGTTTTCTCCGAGTACTTCGGTTTCCCCTGCCAATCTTCATTCCACCAATTGCTCCACAATCACCCTCACCTATCATCTGGGGCTGGNGGAGTGGCCGCAGTACAAGGGACATAGTCCCACCCCACTAGCAATAAAAAATAGTGCATATGCAGCATGGTTACAGGTCTCTGTATTCTGAAATAGTTTCTGATACGAAGAAACCGAACTTGATGGTTTGCTTTCATATCTGCGTTTAATTAAACCTGAAAATTCTGATGTAAATAGTTATCTCAGTTCATTTCAGTAGTCCCTCCAGGTTCTTTCTAGAAATTGACCACAACCCCTCAATTCCAAATTATATTAACAATGGTTTATAACTGTTTACAACATTCATCGTTTTCTTAATCTAAGCAAACGTCTGTATGAATAATAGTGTAAGCCTTCAATAGCCAGGCGTATGAATATTGTAACCGATTTTACAATCACGTGCCTCCGCCTATAATCACAGGGGCATGGCTGGTGGAATAAAAACACAGAATCTGAAGAACACCGTAACACATAATAAAGTGTAGCTTCGTTATAAGGGCATTCGAGTTCGTGAGCATCGCCCATTCATTTCGTTCAGCCCCTCCTTTGCCCTTACACATGAATGGAGTTGAGAATCTGATCGGATTTTCGTTAAATGTGATACTGGGGAGTTTTAGTAGCATCTGTCGACACAACAAGAACAAAGAAAACGGACACTTCATAGACGTTGAGGACCTACATGAATATCATCAGAGCGTATCTTGCTTAAATATTATTTCTGGTTTGAAGAACGTTAGAAAGATGGTTGTTCAGTATGACTCCTTCGCGATAATAAAACAAAAAGGAAGCTACATGCACGTTTCGGAACTTAAACACATGTATACAGCAATCTGTAGTGGATTTTCGAACAAGCCCCATAGATTGCCGAAGTCTCTATTATTCTCGATAATATTCAAACGAAGCTTCCGACCACCTGAGTTTCTAGGTCTGCATATAAATTATAAATATCCTCTGACAAATTATAGACCTCCTCTGTGGTCTAGTGATCAGAGTTCCTGCCTAGAAATCCAGAGGTCCCGGGTTCGATTCCCGGCACCAGATTTTATGAGAAGTATTGGGTCTGGAACGGGATCCAATCAGCCT